GCAGTTAAAGTGGACTCAATTTGCACTATTTCTGGCATTCTGAAAAGGTCCTTAGTTGGTTTTAGAGAGCCAGGGTGGTGTAGTAGTTTGAGTGCTGGACTACGACTCTGGAGACCTGGGTTCCAATCCGAGCTCAGCCTTGGAAACCCACTGGGGTGACCTTGGGCCAGTCACACACTCTCAGCCTCAGAGGATGGCCAGGGCAAACTCCTCTGAACCAATCTTGCCAAGAAAACCCCAAGATAGATTTGCCTTAGGATTCTCAGAAACAAGACTTGAAGGCACACAACAAAAATTACTCTGTTTAACATGGAAACTCACATATCATGGGCCAGTCACACTCTCTCATCTTCAAGAGCCTGATGCTTGGGCCAGTCACACTCTCTCAGCCTCAAGAGGATGGCCATCATGGCAAAACCCCCTCTGAGGAAATGTGCCGAGGAAATGTGCCGTTAATTAATTCGGAAACGACTGGAAGGCACACAACAAAGATGAGGAATGGCTTCGATTTGGGTGAAACTACTCACCTCGGTGGTCATGATGGAGGGCAATATAGCTGCTGAGAAGCCCTCCAGGCACCAATGGAAGCCCCCCGTCCCCCCCTTCCCGGCCTCAGGCGTCCTCCTCCTCCTTCTCCCCTTCAGACCCACCTTCTTTCTTTCCTTCCTTCCTTCTTTACCTCAGACCCGCGTTGTGACTACGACGTTCTGAGGCCTCCACTCCGCTTCCTCCCTAAAGTTAACGCTCGAGGATTATTCCTCCCCTACGCTTCCTCCTTCCCAGACCGTAAGCTACGCGAATGGCGTAAACCCGCGCAGGCGCATTGGAGCTGCAGGCCTAGAGAAGGTGAGAGAGACGGAGTGAGAAAGAAAAGGAGATGACTATATGACATATATATATATATAGATATATAGATATAGATATAGATATAGATATAGATATAGATATAGATATATAAATATATATATATATATGTCATATATATATGTCATATAGATATGTGTGTCATATATATATATAGATATGTCATATAGATATATAGATATATAGATAGATATGTCATATAGATATATGTCATATGAATATATGAGATATATATAGATATAGATATATACACACACACACAAATACACACATATAGAGACATAAATATACATACTTATAGACATATATAGAGACATATAGAAATATAAATATATAGAGAGACATATAGACATATAAATATACATAGAGAGACATATAGTGAGACATACAGACATATAAATAGAGAGAGACATATATAGGCATATAAATATATAGAGAAAGATAGACAAATATACATATATGTAAACATAAATATAGGGCCTAAACAGACTGCCAGAAATAGTGAACTTTAAATTGAGGCACTGCCCTGGCTCAGTGCTAGGGAATCATGGGAATTGTATTTTTTTCTGAGACACTGAGCCTTCTCTGTCAGAGAGCTCTGGTGCCACAATAAATTACAGTTCCCATGATTCCCTAGCACTGAGCCAGGGCAATGCCTCAATTTAATGTGCACTATTTCTGGCAGTCTGCTTAGGCCTATAGACTGTATAGACATATATAGGCAAGTATATATATATTTATATGTAGATATATAAATATATATAGACTATGATTAGACACATATAGACATATAGATAGATAAATATACATATATACAGACCTATAAATATATAGAGACTAAATATCAACATATATAGACATATAAATATAACATAGACTATGTATAGATATATATAGACATATATATATATATATATAGAGAGAGAGAGAGAGAGAGAGAGAAAGATAAATACACATGTATACAGACTTATAAATATATAGAGACTAAGGGGGGTTGCAGACAGCCAGAAATAGTGCAAATTGAGTCCACTTTTAGGGTTAGGGTTAGTGCTAGGGAGTCATGGGAATTGGGTTTTTTTGGAGACATTGAGCCTTCTCTGTCAGAGAGCTCTGGTGCCACAATAAAATACAGTTCCCATGATTCCCTAACCTTAACCCTAACCCTAAAAGTGGACTCAATTTGCACTATTTCTGGCAGTCTGCAACCCCCCTAAATTCCAACATATATAGACATATATATATATATATATATATATATATATATATATAATAGACATATAGGCTAGAGAAAGACATATTGATATATAAATATATATAGAGAGATAAATACACATATATACAGACATATAAATATATATAGACTAAATATCAACATATATAGACATATAAACATTTTATAGACTATGTAATTTATAGACACACACACACACATATATATATATATAATATAGACATAGAGAGAGACATATATATATATATATATATATATATATATATATATACACACAATTAAATAGGCATATATAGACATATGCATGTGTATACATAGAATCATAGAATCATAGAATTATAGAGTTGGAAGAGACCACAAGGGCCATCCAGTCCAACCCCCTGCCATGCAGGAACTCCCGATTAAAGCATATATATATAGAGAGAGAGAAATAAAGAGGATGCTCTCTCTCTCTCTCTGTATATAACCCAGTTAAAACAGTATAAAAAGTACTTTGTTGTCATATAGTCGCCTCAGTTCAACAAAGTACTTTTTATACTGTTTTAGCTGGGTTATTTTAATTGTTTTTGTTTCTAAATTTATTTTAAAAGTGTACCGGTATTTATCTTGTGAGCCGCCTTGGGTCCCTTTTTAAGAGAAAGGTGGCATGAAAAATGGAATACCAGTAAATAAATAAAAAAGTATAAATTACCAATAATTCATGTCTGGCCAAAATATATTTTAAAAAATTATGTGCATAGCAAAATTGAAAAATTCAGAAATGTAGTGTGTGCGCAGGGGAGGGGGGGGGATTACAGTAGGTCCAGAGACCAATTTTAATTTCCTGGGTATGTATGTGACTGTCAAAAGAATTACTTTTAAGTCCACATTCGCTGGGGCTAGGGGCACAGGGCCGCTGTGAAAGTAGAAAAGCCATAAATGAGAACACCTCTCTTGGAACCTCCAGGTCCTTCAGCACAACTCAGTGGTCAATTTGCAGCACAGTTGCACTGGAGGACCTAGAGATTCCTAGAGAGAACCTATAAATCAAATTTGAAAATAATCAAATCCGCGAAAGTCACAAGTCATAGATGTGGAGGGACCACTGTATTCCCAGAAATAGGAATACTCAGAGGTGGTTTTGCTGTAGGGTATGTTTCAGAGGAAAGATCTGGCAAAACCATCTTGCTTAGCTTCCAAGATTAGAAAGATTTGGTGCCTTAGGATATCTAGAGACAAGGGTCCAAAACACACTGCAGAAATAATCTAGTTTGAGACCGATTTAACTGTCCTGGCTCAATGCTAGGGAATTCTGGGAATTGTAGTTTTGTGAGACATTCAGACTTCTTTGCTTCCTCTTATAGCAGGGGTAGGCAACCTTTCCCCTTTAAGGGCCGAGGGACTTCAGCTCCCAGAATCCCAGGAGCTATTGGCCAACATGGGACTATTGACCAACATGGCTGAGGCTTCTGGGAGCTGAAGTCCCTCGGCCCTTAAAGGGGAAAGGTTGCCTACCCCTGTCTTATAGGGTCGCCATAAGTCGGAAACGACTTGAAGCCACACAACAACAACAACAAAATGCGGAAATACTAAATTAAACAGGAAACTACGTAGGCACTGTCATGTTTTAAAGCAATGGTTCCAAAACTTTGTATCCGCCAGAATTTTTTTGGACTTCAGCTCTCAGAATTCATGACTGTTGGCCAAGCTTTCTACGGCTTCTGGAAGTTGAAGTCCAAACAAACCCAACACCCTAGAGGACCAAAGTTTGAAAATCACTGTTTTAAAGTAACCCGTGAGAAACGGGGGCTGGTGTCACTCTAAGTTCTATCTCTATGTTCCGCGCCTACCTATAGCGTAAGCAGCCGCCACTGTGTGTGACGTCACCGCGCAGGCGCATAGCGCGAGAGAGGGCGACGCTCTCTGTGGCGCGGTGACGTCATCGCGTTACAGTCTCCTCCAGCGTCCTGCCCCGTAGTAACCGAGCGGAGTTGTGAGGGACGAGAGGAAGAGATAGAGAGGGAGACAAGACCCTCAGTTGCCTCAGAAGGTGGTGAGTAAGACTTGGGAGAATAAACGGAGCGGGAAAGAGGACAAAAGAGCTGTTGTCGGGCCCTTCGCGGTCTCTGGGGAAGGGGGCGGGGCCGCGGCCTAGCAGGACAGTAGAAGCCTTCGAGCTTCACCGCGCTCTGTTTTCCTTCTTCCTCACAGGCGACTGGGTCTCTCGTCTCTGGATAAATCCACCGAAACCCGTCAAGGGTCAGCAGGTATGTCTTGTATTTGGGGACTCTCTCGTTGTTCTGTGCCTTCATCTCTTTCCCGACTTCTGTACTTGGAGTAAACCTATGCCTTAGGTCCACAACACACACTGCAGAAATAATCGAGTTTGAGACCGCTTTAACTGCCCTGGCTCGGTGCTAGGGAATCCTGGGAATTGTAGTTTTTGTGGCACCAGAGCTCGTTTTGACAGAAAAGGCTCAGAGGGGTTGCAGACTGCCAGAAATAGTGCAAATTGAGTCCACTTTTAGGGTTAGGGTTAGGGAATCATGGGAACTGTATTTTATTGTGGCACCAGAGCTCTCTGACAGAGAAGGCTCAATGTGTCAGGGGGAAAAAACAATTCCCATGATTCCCTAGCACTAACCCTAACCCTAAATGTGGATTCAATTTGCACTATTTCTGGCAGTCTGCACAACCCCTATCAGTGGGCCTTTGTAGACTGCTAGATATAGTGCAAATTGAGTCCACTTTAACTGCCCTGGTTCAGTGCTAGGGAATCATGGGAATTGTATTTTTTTTCTGAAACATTGAGCTTTCTCTGTTAGAGAGCTCTGGTGCCACAGTAAACTGCAGTTCCCATGATTCCCTAGCATTGAATCAGGGCAGTTAAAGTGGACTCAATTTGCACTATTTCTGGCAGTCTGCAAATGCCCAATGCCTCCCAAAACTACAGTTCCCAGGACTTAATCTGCTGCTTACATTGTCTTCATTGTATACTAATTAGTATTGTTTTGGAGAGGCAGTGGCTGAAATGGTTAAGATGCTCGGTTGATTGAAAGATCTGCAGATTGGAAGTTCAAGGCCCGGGTGCTGCTTGATGGGGTGAGCTCCTGTCACTAGTCCCAGCTTCTGCCAACCTAGCAGTTCGAAAGCATGCAAATGCAAGTAGATAAATAGATACCACTTTGATGGGAAGGTAAACAGTGTTCTGTGCAATCATGCTGGCCACAGGATCACAGAGTAGTCTCTGACAACGCTGGGTCTTTGGCTTAGTAACGGAGATGAGCATCGTTCCCTGTGGTCAGTCACAACTTGACAACCTTGTCAATGGGGAATACCTTTACCATTAATCATGCTATATTGTTGTTTTAGATTGTACACTGCTTGGCAGGTTTTTATTCTTTTTATAATTTAATTAACCCCCTACTATGTAAAGTGCTGTGCAAACTTTACAGTGTTCTATAAATAAATTAACAGATAGAATAATAATAATTTCCTAGCAGTGAGCCAGGGTAGTTAAAGCAGTCTCGAACTGTATTTTTTCTGCAGTTTGTTCTTGCTAATAGCGCTCTTATACGTACCCTGTTGTTGTGTGACTTCAAGATGTTTCTGACTTAGGGAGAACCTGCAAGAACCTGTGGTGTTTTCTAGGCAAGATTTCTTCAGAGGAGGTTTGCTGTTGCCTCCCCCTGAGGCTGAGAGAGTGTAATTTGTGGATTCCATGACTGAGCTAAAGACCTTAGAATCGTAGAGCTGGAAGAGACCCCAAGGGCCATCCAGTCCAACCCCCTGCCATGCGGGAATATCTTGTAAAACTACAGATCCCGAGATTCCATAAGATGGGCTTTGTAGTTGTGAAGGTTCTCTATGGTCCCATTCCACTCCTACTGAGCTGGATGGGGTCCCTTGAGACCACTTTTTATCCAAAACAACTTTCTGCTAGCACCCAATGATTAACCATTTAAACCTTAGTAACGCATTGGGTCATTGCTGAGACTTCTACTGGTAATTGCCAACCCAGTGAGGAACTAGCTGAGTTAAGGCCCATGAAATTGGAATGAAAAAAGGCAGAGTACGTAAGGAAAAGTTTCATTCTAATGGACTTAAGGCGACCCTACATTGAACCTTTCATGGGGTTTTCTTGGCAAGTTTTTTGAGAGGGGGCTTGCCATTGCCATCCTCTGAGGCTGAGAGAATGTGAGTTCTCCAAATTCACACTGATGTGGCGTAGTGGTTTGAGTATTGGATTATGACTCTGTAGACTAGGGTTCGATTCCCAGCTTTGTCATGAAATCCGCTAGATGACCTTGACCAAGTCACACTCTCTCAGCCTTAGAGGAAGGCAATGGCAAGCCACTTCTGAACAAATCTTGCCAAGAAAACCCCATGATAGGTTCCCCTTAGGGTTGCCGTAAGTCAGAAATGACCTGAAGGCACACAACAACAGGTAATAAGAGAGCTGTCAGCAAGAGCAAGGCATACTTTTATTCTAGGTACAAATTTGTGCATACCTACTTGGAACCCAGCATGGCATAGTGGGTTGAGTGCTGGACTACAGCTCTGGAGGCCAGGGTTCAAATCTTCACTCAGCTGTGGAAACCCACTGAAAGTCCTTAGGCAAGTCACACTCTCTCAGCCTGAGAGGATAGCAATGGCAAATTCCCTCTGAAGAAACTTCCCAAGAAAAACCCACGATAACTTTGCCTTAGGTTCACCATAAGTCAGAAATGACTTTAAGGGACACAACAACAACTTGATGATAAGCTTGTTAGACTCAGTAACATTCATTTCTAAATAAATATGCACGTTTTAATTTGCTGTGATGACTGTGACTAAAATCTCTCAGATTTAAGAACAGTACAGTCATCCCTCCCTATTCGTGGGGGATCTTTTCTGGAAAACCACCACTACCCACAGCGAATCTGGAAAATAGCAAATATTCAAGGCCCATTGGTTATAATGGTACATGTCCCTGTGAACAGTGCTGCGCACGCACCTTACACACACGCACCATTTTCTCCCCCCCCC